CTTTTAAATTTTTATCAAAACAAATAAATCCTTAACTTTTGTAATTTATGTAAATTAACCTTTTTTATTTATAGTAGATTTAATACATATTTATTTATTATCTATATAGATAAGATATTGATATGTCGTTATTTATATAATAGATATTAATTTTATTTATGTATGTAAAACACAAATTGACATTAAATCTACCATAAAAAAGAAAATTAAATTGTTCATATATGCAAGTTCAAGTGCTTATTTACTTTAATAAAAATTTAGTGGTTTAATTGAAAATTTAAGAGAAATTTAAGAGTTTAACATAAGATTTTATCAATTTAAGACTATCAATTTCTTTTATCTATGATTAAAAAATATATTAATTATATTCTTATATTTCATTAGATAACATTTTTTAGTTTTTTTTTAATTTTTATATATTTTATTATTTTCAAAATATATAGAATATTAATTAAAATAAATATTAAATATATTATTAGGACAATTATCTAATTTGACTATGTACATACATACATATAAATATGTAACCCTAATTCTATTGTGAATGAGAATCATAAATTATTCACGGCTATATGGTATCAGAGCCGCAATCCAGCACTAAGTCTTCTATTTAGGTTTTCTTCATTCTTTGTCTTGAATCCTTGTTCCTATCTCGTCGTGTTGTCATGGATTCATTTAGTTCACAAACCTCTTCTACATCCTCTACAGTTCCTATTTCGTCTATGGATTCTCCATTAGTTACAGCAAAGCCAACTGAATTCAAGTTTCCTTTTGTTCCACCTTTCACTGCTTTCAATACCTTGACCTCTCCGAATCCTATACCAATCCACCAGAATTCTACATCTCATTCCTTTTTTTCTCATCCCGTCTTCACTGTTTCCAATATTAAGACCTTTGTTCCGGAAACTTTGACACATGAAAATTATGTTATTTGGAAAGAATTAATTATTCCTGTATTCAAGAGCAAGGGAGTATATGGTCATATTGATGGTACTGACCCCTGTCCACCGCCTCCGAGTCCTCACTTTGAAGCTTGGGTGCAGATCGATTTTCAAATATTGTCTTGGATTTAGGCTACTATCTCAACAGATGTGTTGCAGATGATTATTCAACCCAGTAAGAGTCTCACTGCTAAGGAAGCTTGGGATGCCATCCATACCTCTTATCAAACTCAGTTAGCTGCTAGAAAAATGTATGTTAAACAAGAGTTTATTACTCTTCAAAAGCAATCTGGACAGTCCATGTTAAATTACTTACAAATTGTTAAGAAAGCAGCATATAACATGTATGGTGTTGGTGAGATTTTGACAGATCGAGACATAGTTTTTCAAGCTCTTACAGGACTTGATGCTGAATATAGTGTTGCTAAGAGAACTATTCCACAACGATCTCTTTTTCCTTCTTTTGTGGAATTGCAATCTTTATTGTTGATTGAAGAATCAACTTTGCAAAGAGAAAAGTCGCTCAGTCACTTAGCCTTTGTAAATCCAAGTACATAACAAGTGCTACAGACTTCGACTCACTCTCCTGAAGTGTACTACTTCGGTGCTCAATCACGGCATGAATTTTTTGGATTTGGCAGAGTTTTTAATAGAGGATTAAATAGGGGTGGTCGTGGTCCACGTCGAGGCGGTCGAGGAGGCCGTGGATCACGTGGTGGTTCTTATTCCAATTTTGATCGTGGTTCTTTTCATGGTACAGTATATAATCCCAACCATGGTGTTTACAATGGTGGTGTTCATGCTTCCAACAATCATGCATGGAATTCTTCAAATGGGTTCAATTCTTCAAATTGGTCAAATTCATCTCATGGAAATAATTTGCCTCCACTGTTGCCGAATCCAAGCATGCCTTCACATCAAATTATGGCTTGTCAACTTTGTGATCAGTTAACTCATAAAGCTCGTAATTGTCCCCTGCTGATTGGAACAAAGATTGCCTCCCCAAATCCACATGGCCCTACAGCCTTTACCGCCACAACTTACCCGACAACTCCGGATAGCAAATGGTATATTGATTATGGTGCCAATACTCATGTTTCTAGTACTCTTGGTAGTCTTTTAAACTCATCTCCTTATTCTGGTCTAGAATTAATTCAAGTCAGCAATGGTCAATTATTACCTGTTACTCATTCTGGTAACGCTAGTTTCTTTTCGTCTGGTCATTCCTTTTAGCTTAACAATGTTCTTGTTTCTCCTCACCTTCATAAGAATTTAATTTTCGTTTGTCAGTTTACCAAAGATAACAATTGCAATATTGAGTTTGACTCTTCTGGTTTTTTTGTTAAAGACATCAAAACGAAGAGCATCCTGTTTCGTTGCAATAGTTTGAGGGGACTATATCCCGTGTCTAGCTCATCGTCCAGTTGTCCGAGTGTTCTTTCTATTGCAGTTGTGTCTCCTGATGTTTGGCATCTTCGTCTTGGGCATCCGGGTTCAGATTCCATCTCTCATTTGTTTCGCCGTGGTCTTATTTTACCAAACAATAAAATGTCTAGTTCAATTTCTTGTCATGCATGTCAACTAGGGAAGCATACTCGTCTTCCATTTAGTGACTCATTTTCTGTTACCTCTGCGCCTTTTGATTTAATTCATTAAGATGTTTGGACTTCTCCAATTATGTTCTTTATTGGTATTCGATATTATCTTTTATTCTTGGATGATTATAGTTGCTATCTATGGGTTTATCCATTACATTCAAAATCTCAAGTGTTTCAAGTTTTTCTTAGATTTTCAGCTTTTGTCTTTACTCAATCTGGTGCTCGGATTAAAGCTTTTCAATGTGATAATGGTTGTGAATTTGATAATTTAGATTTTGCTAATTATTTTCAATCTAATGGAATTCATCTTCGTTCTTCTTGTCCCTCGACTCCCCAACAAAATGGGAAAGCCGAGCGTATGAATCGAACAATTCTCAATATGGTTCGATCTTTACTTTTTCAAGCAAAATTGCCTAGTGAATTTTGGGTGGAAGCACTTTATGTGGCTGCTCACCTAATTAATGTTTTACCTTGTTCTAGGCTACAACTTTCTACACCACATGAGGTGTTATTTGGTGAAGTGCCTTCTTATGAACACTTGCGAACCTTTGGTTGTGCTTGTTATCCAAATTTGTCAGCCACTACAGCACACAAATTGGATCCTCGATCCTCTTTATGCATCTTTTTGGGATATCCTAGTCATCACAAAGGCTACAGATGTCTTGACTTGCAGACAAACAACATTATCTTATCCCGGCATGTTACTTTTAATGAAGAATTGTTTCTTTATCCACCTCAACATCCTACCTCCTGCCAAACTCCTATGCCATCTTTACGAGCTCCATTCCATTTGCTGGACATCCCATTATCTTGGCCCAATTCCTAGCCTAACCCACCTCCCCCTACTAATCCCGTCCATCCTCTAAACCCGCCCACACCCTCCAGTCTTTTGGGCCAGCCCAACTCTACTTGCCCAACCTCTACTTTGCATTCGCCCACCTCACTCCCACCTACTTTGAACCCATCACCCGATTTACACTCACTTTCCTCACCCGTTCACCCGCCGGCTTTCATCAATTCCCCCTCTGCAACTGTGGCTTCTACCCATGTCGCCTCATTGCCACCTGCTTCCAACCCCTCTGAATCTACTTGCCCTTGTCCAGATTCTGTTTTCGAGCAAGAGCATGAGGTCTCTACCACTCCGCTTCTCTCTGCTGCTCTGCCTCCATCTGGTGTTGTTTCTCGACGATTACATGGTATGGTGGCCCGTTCACAAGTGGGTGTTCGAAAGCCAAAAATTTTACCGTCCATGGTTCATACTCTCCTTGATTTGACAGAACCCAAGACTTTTAAGCAAGTACAATGGTTTCCCGAATGGCAGCATGCTATGAATGAAGAATATGTGGCACTTCTGCACAACAAAACTTGGGTCTTAGTACCTCCTCCATGCGGTGCTAACATTGTGGGTTCCAAATGGGTATACCGTATTAAACAGAGAGCAGATGGTAGTATTGAACGGTACAAAGCACGGCTTGTTGCTTAAGGATATACACAACAGCCTGGGATAGATTATGATGAGACCTTTAGTCCAGTGGTGAAATCGGTCACCATTTGTACGGTTCTTGCTCTTGCTCTTTCCAAATCTTGGCCAATTCACCAGCTTGATGTTAAAAATGCTTTTCTGAATGGGTCTTTATCTGAACCTGTCTATATGTCTCAGCCACCGGGATTTGTTGATCCGCAGTATCCTAATCACGTTTGCTTTCTTCAACGGGCACTTTATGGTTTAAAGCAAGCTCTTCGTGCATGGTTTCAACGGTTTGCAGCCTTTCTCTATTCTTGTGGTTTTATTCAGGCATACTCTGATTGTTCTATGTTTCTATATCACTCGAATGGTATGCTGGCTATTCTACTTTTGTATGTTGATGATATTATCTTAACTGCCTCTACTCAGCCCCTTTTGGATCATATTATTGCTTTGTTAGAGAAGGAATTCTTGATGACAGATTTGGGTGTTCTCAACTATTTTTTGGGCATTACAGCTAGATTTAATTCAGATGGTATCTTTCTCTGCCAAACTAAGTATGTGGCTGATTTGTTAGATTGCACTGGTATGTCTGATTGCAAAGCAGTTTCTACTCCTATGACACCAAAGCAAAAGTTGGTTGCTTCTGACAGTCCTCCTTGCTCTGATTCTACTCAGTATCGGAGTATTGTTGGTGCTTTACAGTACTTAACTTTTACTCGTCCGGATATTGCCTTTGCTGTTCAACAAGTACGTCAATATATGCATGCACCAATTGAGAATCACTTTCAAGCTGTGAAACGAATACTTTGTTATTTGCAAGGTACTCTACACTATGGGCTTCAATTATTCAAAGATTTTTCTCCTTCCTTGCACATTTACGCAGATGCTGATTGGGTTGGATGTTTGGATAGTCGTCGCTTTACCTCTGGCTATTGTTTGTTTTTTGGTCGGTCTCTAGTTTCCTGGTCTTCTAAAAAGCAACCAATTGTTGCTCGATCTAGTGCAGAGGCAGAATATAGAGCTATGGCTAATGCCGTTGCTGAGGTGGTTTGGGTTCGTTAATTATTGGGAGAGTTACGGATCTTTCTTTCTTCTCCTCCTGTCCTTTTTTTGTGATAATATTAGTGCTCTCTATATGGCTCTTAATCCTGTGTAGCATCAACGGACAAAGCACATTGAGATTGATATACATTTTGTTCGTGAGCAAGTTGCCTCTCGTGCCATTCTTTTGCAACATGTTCCTACTTCATTACAGTGCACTGACATTCTCACCAAAGCTTTATCTACTTCTGTTTTTGCTTCTCAGTGATCCAATTTGTGCGTTCTTCACTATCCCGCACAAATTGCGGGGGGATGATAGTGTATTAGGACAATTATGTAATTTGACTATGAACATACATACATATAAATATGTAATCCTAATTCTATTGTGAATGAGAATCATAAATTATTCACGGCTATATATATATATATATCATATGTTGTATATTTTTAAAATATTAAAAGATAAAAATACATATTTCTACAACTATAAATTAAGGTCATCAAACAAAGCTTCAAGAGATAAAAATGACCACAAGTTAAAAGAAAATTTCTTTTATTTACTTATTTTAAAAGATATTTATTTTTTTAACCAAAAGCAATTTGCTAATGGAGAGTTGAAAAAATTTTAATATGATAATATTATAATTTTAATTTTACTTAAAATATTAACTATCTCTAAATAAAGAGGAGAAAAACTTTTAACATAACAATATTATTATTTAAATTTTAATTATTATTAAAATATTAAATACATCCATAAAGTAATTTTTGTCGAGGCTGATGCTTGAGAAATAATTATTTATTTATCTCGGATGCAAATTATTGATTCTTTTGATTAATCTAGTATTTTCCCCTGTGGTATCAGTCACTATTTTTTATCCAAAATTGTTAGTTTGCGGGACCGTATTTAGTTTCTTTAAATAAAAGTTTAAGTTTGAGTATTATTAATGATGAATAGGTGTTGAGGGAATTTACATTTTAATAAAGTTTAATATAATTTAATTTTAAATTAATTAAAAATTATATTTAAATAAAATTTTAAGTTTGAGTATTATGAATAAAAAAATATATGTTACAAGAGAATTAATCTTTTAATAAAATTTAATATGATTTAATTTTAAATTAATAGAAATATAAGTTGGTTATCGGATACACAAGTATTAATAAAAAAAGAAAAATCAGTCACTTTTTTTATTGGTTTATTTTATTTTATTTTATTTTTTTGACAATGATAATAATTAAAAAATTAGTATAAATTAAATATTAATAATAAGAGATTCAATATTTAGACTGAGTAAATATTTTACTCTTCAAATAAGATACACGATCATTAAATTACTTTTTAATAGAGTTCACGACTATAATAAAGGTCGAGACTCCGATCGCTTCACCCAATCAGTTCAGGTTTGGAGACGAATCATTGGAGGTAAGTCCCGGTTTTTTTTGTCGGTTTATGAGGAGTGAGGACTGATCTGACTAGTCAGCAGTAGTCTCTCTCCCCTAACCCTTAACCAGTGCCATCACTCTCCCCTCTCTGCTGCCGCAGCAAAGCTCCGCATTGTCTTCTTCATTCCATTTCCGCCGTTAACACCATGGATCTCTGCTCTTCTAGCCGTTTGGCCACCGTTCTCAGCCTCATTGTCCTCCTTCTAACTTCCAGAGGTGAAAAGCTCACTCTTTTCTTCCTGGGTTTCTCGCATTTTTGTCCCATTACTTCATTTTCTCACTTCTTGTGTTTTCCTTTTGTCAGGTGTTTCAGGGGCTACATTCACATTTGTCAACAGATGTGAGTACACTGTGTGGCCCGGGATTCTTGCCAACGCTGGCAGCCCAAGACTCGACAGTACCGGGTTCGAGCTCCTGACCGACTCCTCTCGCGCATTCCAGGCACCTACAGGCTGGTCTGGCCGCTTCTGGGCACGAACTGGCTGTAAATTTGACGGATCCGGGTCTGGGTCCTGCGTCACTGGCGACTGCGGTACAGGTCAGCTCGAATGCAACGGGCTAGGAGCCACCCCACCTGTAACTCTCGCGGAGTTCACTTTGGGAACCGGCGGGCAAGATTTCTATGACGTCAGTCTGGTAGACGGGTATAATGTACCCATGATTGTTGAAGGCAGTGGCGGGTTGGGTCCTTGCGCTTCGACGGGTTGCACCACTGACTTGAACCAGCAATGTCCGGCGGAGCTACGGACGGGTGAGGGTAACGCGTGCAAGAGCGCGTGTATGGCGTTCGGAACTCCGGAGTATTGCTGTAGTGGCGCGTATAGCACCCCCGCCACCTGTAAACCTTCGGCTTATTCGATGTTGTTCAAGTCGAAGTGCCCTAGATCGTATAGCTACGCCTACGATGATCCTACCAGCACCTTTACGTGCACCGGAGCAGATTACACGGTGACATTTTGTCCATCTTCTCCAAGGTAGCATTTTTCAGGAGAAGTTAAGAAATTTATAACTACTCTGTTTCTGTTTGATCATTAATGTAAATTTTTTTTCTTTAATTTTCTGGTTTGTAGTCAGAAATCTGCAAGCGATTTTACGCCGGTGACCGGAGATACGCCTGTGACTGGAGATAAGCCGGTGACAGGATCAACGTCACAGGAATCTGGGTATGGGTCAGGGTCAGAAGCCGGGCTTACTTACACTGGTTATGGATATGGGTACTCTGGCTCAGCCTCAGGGTACTCTGGTTTTGGGTACGCTGGCTCTAGGACAGGGACAGGCACTGGATCTGGGGAAGCCATGTTGGCAGATGGATCATGGTTAGCTGATTTGGCCATGGGAGACTCAACAAGGGCAGCAGCTCCTTCCTCTGCTCTACAATTTTTACTCATGGCAGCAACGGGGTTCTCTATTCTTTTCTCATTTCATTGCTTGTAGAATCATTTCTCAGTAGATTATGGATTCTTGTATTTGGGTTTAAATATGTATTCTTTTTAGATTTCTAGCTTTGATTGGCAGTTGGTAATTTCCCTTTGTTCTAAAAGCGGACATGTTCTCCTCCTCCATCATGTAAATAACCACCTTCAAGATTCCCCCTTTGATTTCCATTGCCACTTCGTTTATCATTAGTCTCTGTGTCTCATTTATGGATTTTTACAACACCAATCGGAATCATGATTTTTTTTGTTCTCAACAATTTGTGGTCTTGTTTTAGGTTTATATATACTTATTCAATCTTCAATGGAATAATGGGGTGTAAAGAAACGAGAAAGAAAAAGAAGTCCCTAAAAAGAAATATGTCTAATGTGAATAATCTGAGAATGGTTGTTGGCTGTCGTTGTGTGTTTTCTGAAAGGGATCTCTTTGCGGAACTCTCAAGTTTTTAGGTTAGCTTTTGTGTTTGCTCGCAAATTGCAGTTCTTTTTCAAGATTATTACAGTCACTCTTGTTGTGCATCTTGGATGTATAAGAAGACATATTCCATTTTTACAATTTCCTCATCATTCCTGTAATTTTGGAACCAGAAACACCTTATAATTTTAAATTAATTTTAAATTATATAAAATTTTATATATTTTACTATACTCATACACTCATGATAAATGTGGGACAGGAACCCCCGACGGGTAATTGTAATGCTTGAACCAAAAACATCTAATTATTTCGACCTTGAAACCTCCAATTAAAAATTGTAATGTGGCGATGAGTTAGGCCCACGAGGAACGTGACAATCAATGAGGCTATGTTACTATGTATTTTTTTTATTAATTTTTTAGTGTCTGATAATTACATTAAATTCAATTAATTTAAAATTAAATCACATCAAATTTTATTTTAAAATTTTTTTTTAATAATTATTTTTTCATTCATAAAATTTAAACTCGATATTTTATTTAAAAAAAATCAAATTCTTTTCATTTGTATCAACAAATTATTGGTTATATTACTCTGCATTTGATGTTTGGTGAAGGTGTCTTTAAGCATCATCAAATTTGTACATCTTGTCTTCGCATAGCAATAAAGAGAGAATAAAGTCAAGAAGTGGCATCATTTGTTGGCGGTAGTGTCAAGGTAGTGTGATTATAACCCTGGAAATTTTCCTTCTCCAAAAACTTTTTCTATTGAACGCTGAGTTCAAAGGGCCGCTTAACTTCAAAAAGCTGATTGCAAAAGGATTTCTTCCCTCCTCCGTAACACCTTTTTTGACCATTTCACCTAGCTCAACCGATGATTTGATTATGTTATGTCATTTAATATAATGCTCGCTAGTGGATTAGTGGCTTAAATTATGAAAACCCATGTTTGTTTTTCCATTTTCATGGTTTTAAACTGAGGAAATCATTCCCCGAGGCATTTGACAGACAACCTCTAATCAATCTTTTTATGTAGACCTAAGATGCCCTATCTGCCAGACAAGATTCCATAAATCTTGTCATTTTTTTAAAGCTGATAAGAAAATTCCAATAGTGTACCGCATGTTGATGGTCCTAGCAATTATTCTTTTCATCATGACCATTCCTATGAAGTTCTTCTCCTTTCTTCATTCCTTTTATTCTCTTTGGATTGTGACTATTGTGAGATTTCAGTGTGAATAATATTTAGTTTGTATGTGTTGGATTGTGGAATTAAAAGGGTTACAATTGAATGTTAAAATGTCTAGTTTCATCACCACGGCCGAGTGAGAATGTAGAAGCTGCTGTTCTGTTTTTTCCGTACTTAACCACTATCCTGTATTCACCTAGGAACCCACTAAAGCTAAATGACCCATGTTCATCTGTCTGTCCATTTACTTCGTGCGTGTACCATTCCTTCAAGAGCTTGTCAACCACATCTCCCGCGGGTAGGTTCCGGAATTTATCATCGGTGAGGCACATTTGGTAACACCCTTTTGGATGGAGAGCAGTCCAAAGCATTATCCCATTCACTGATGGGTGTGAAAAACCTTCTCTTAAAACTTGCTCTAGATAAGTAGCCTGTAAGGCATAGCCGAAACCAAGCTTAATGCATTAATCTAAGCTGTCAAATCGGAGCTACAGAATTCTAATATCAAAACTGTAAAGTCAAAAAGCTCTGACACAGTATTAAGGACGGTTTTAGAGGTTTAAATGCTCACCTGCATTTCCTGAGTGAGTGAATTGCTAATATCTACTTCTGTTAGCCAGATTGGAAGATTAAGTGAAGTCAATTTGTCCAAAACAGCTCTCATTAAAGGAGGATTTGGTACCGTGAAATGCCCCTCCAACCCAATTCCGTCCATGTAAACCCCATCCTGCTGGAGCTCTCTCAGCCTTGCAATGTAGCCATCCACAGTGGACTTCCCATCACTGCAAGTCTCCACCACGTTGAATTCATTCATGAACAATGTGGCCAAGGGGTCGGCCTGGTGCGCCGTCCTGAAGAATTCCAGGGTTGCATTATGCCCGAGACGTTGCTCGTAGAAGTCGAAATGGAGATTCTCGTTGCTGACATCCCAGTGGATGAATTGATCTTTGTATTTAGTCATCAGGCTTTGTATTCTTGAGTTCACAGCTGACCAGAGATCGGGACCAGAGAGGTTCCGGACCCATGCCGGGATGAACTTGGGGTCTTCCCAGAATATGTTGTGGCCTCTGGCGATTATTTGGTGGGCTGGGACGAACTCCAACATCTGGTCTCATATAGTGTAGTTGAGCTTCCCCTGTTCCGGTTCTGTAGCACTCCACTTTAATTCATTTTCAAAGACTGCTGCATTGAATCTCTCCACGAACCAATTCTGGAACAATCATAAGGATTTTATTATTTAGTATTATTGAAAAAACAAGAGGTCAGCGCCTTAATTAGGTGTTTTATGTAATTAAGAACTAGAAAATGTTAGTTAACTTGACATCCACTAGTTTTAAAACTTTGATTCTGATGTCAGCACAAGTGTTCAAGTCGCTGCAATAACTAAACGAAGTTATTTGGCCCAAGGAAAAAACGCTAAATGCCTAGAATTTATATTAGGTTTAGTTACCTGATAAGGTGAATTTCCAAGGATGGTGCTTGCAATTGCAGAACCAAAGGGAAAATCTTTGGATACTTGCTCCAAGGAAATGTCTGCTCCTTGTAATGCATCTCCATGTTCATCTGAGACATGAATTGTCATAGCACGTTTCTTTACCTGGAAAATTTCATGATGATTGTTCTTAAAATTATCACATGAAAATTTATGCAAATGTGATGACAAAATGATTTAGAATGTCCCTTGATATCAGGATTTGTGCTGCATTCTGCCCCGAGAGAATGTCTGCAACTCTGCATTGGCATGCAGTGGTTGTTAGGGAGGCGGGATAAATGTCAAATATTACTAATGGTTAAGGTATGCTGTATGCAATCCTTCATCCAAGGGAGCCCTTTTGAGGACAAAATCGTTAAGCATGAAATCAAATAGAGAATACCATACATGTTCCATTTCTGAACTACTAAAAATGGATGTTGCTAGTAATTACAGTGTTAATTATGTATTGCTGGTTGTTCCTCCATTCCTGTTCGGTAAATGGCTGCAGTGCAGCACTGGCAGTTACTATATCGATGTCCTCATTGTGAGAATTCTGCATGTAAACAACACAGAAGGGAAAAGATTAAGCGAGAAGAAAACTGTAACACCTAAAGCACTGTTGAATTTAATGAAAAGGAAAAATGAACACATTTACCTGAAATACTATTTCAGATACATTTGAAGGTGAATCAAGGACGAACCCACCTTTGAGAAATGACCAGCATCCTCTTTTAGCCAAAACAGTCCCAATGCAATTGTATGTCTCATTGTCTGTCTTTAGGCTTGTTCTTATAAGGGCTGATTCTGTACCTTCTATCTTGACCCAGGCTGTTGACCATACAAGCCAATAGTTTCGCATTAGAACAGCAAGTTTTTAATCTTAGAATTGTTCTTTTCAGTCCAAACTGGCAACATGAAATGGCAATTCTAGAATGTCCACAAGAGTCAGTCCGGACTGAAAAGAGTATTCTTTATTTTACTTTTCCACAAATATGTAGTTCTTCTAAAACTAGTAAATTTTCTTACTAGAAAAACAGTAACTGGTGCCCTGGGTCAGATTGTACAATATGAAAACTGGTGTGTAGACGCCAACGGCAAACTTGCCAGTGTCGCTCCTCATCTCCGGATGCTAATGTTTCAGGATCCCTCCACCGTAGAGTGGCTTCTCCGGCCATGCTTTACACTGTCAGTCAAATCAACGAACCTTTCAACCAATCAACCCACTTGCCCCATTGGAGCATATCACTAGAACATCTGAACATGCTATAAATCATAATTATGTTCATATAGTTTCCCAAACTTTACCTCTGTATAAGCTGTAAAATCATATAAAGGCCCATCTGCAGCATAGAAACACACAAATTAGGAGAAAGGAACAAGAAACAAAGGGATGAAAAGGAAAGAGAAGAACCATTTGCTGCAGCCAAAGTAGCAACTAAAAGAGAAAAAGGAGCCAACAAGTCAGCAAAAATAGGAAAATGCTTCATTTTTTTGCCGTTAAACTGATTTGACTCAAATGGATCATATAGAGAAAGGAGAGGTTCAGGAACAATGTAGTACTGAAGGGATCACAGGGGAACAGTGATTGGCCTGAGCATCATCCGTGCCCTGCTCACATGTTATATATAGCATCACATTACATCATCTGTGAGTATGGTTCGCTTATCTTTGCTTCCAAAATTAGACTCAACCCCGTGACTCGTACGGGAAGAAATTTAATTCTGCTACTTACTTTATCAACGGTTGCTTAATCTTCAGTCTCACTTGCCTAAAGGGTTAATGACAGTCACAATCTCAATGTTAGTCCAAATAAGAATGTCAAAATTAAGAGTAAACGTATGAAAGGAAAATTGGGAGCAGGTCAGCAGGTCATTTCACATGCTCAGGAGACAAGACAAGAAACAAAATTGGGTCCTTTGAAGAGCCAACGACAGCCCACCAGACTTTGGTGTTCTGCTCTAGTGCTCTGAAACCAGAGTTGGGTCATTTAGCCTACAAAGGCCTAACTCAAGGTTGAACTTTGGGCTCCTTTTGATACCAGCAGAAAATGTACCCAAATGAATTGGTTATGGAGATTTGATAGATCATAGATGTGAAAACCATAGTTATATTCCTGGTAAAATTATCTGGAAAAGCACTAAATTTACTAATACAGATCTGGATATCATATTAGATCACACAAACTCCCAGGTATTTGGAAGGTTTCAAGAAAAAAGTCACAAAATAATGCTGAATTGATCTAGGAATCAGGATATCACTGAGCAAAAGCCCATCAATCCAATCCTTATATTTCTGACTTCCTGTTTCTAGCCAAATTTTCTATGATTTTTCAGATGTTGTAGCTGCTAATTTTTTAGATTTCCTACTGCTGAATAACTTGGCATAAAAGTCCTTGGTCCTAATTGCCAGAAGAACATCCAGGCCAAATCCAACGGCACAGGCAATGGCCATTATGATGAAAACGAGTTGATAACAATGAGATCCGACACAGGTGTTCCCGCCCCCTGGTGTTGGAGTAGCCTGTGCATCGTATAGGTAACCAGCAAGCAGGCCAGAGAAGAGGAGGGAGCCAAGGGGAAGGTTGAGGACTAGAATGTTGTATATCAGACCGTAGTATTTGAGGCCAAACAGTTCTGATGCTGTTGGGACCGTGATTGCTAGACGAACTCCATAGCAGATGCCAACAACAATCGAACCAATGTATAGGGAGCCTGGCACTGCTAATGCCATGAGGATGTAGCCAACAGCCATTAGGATCTGAGATGCTGCATTCCAAAGAGGTCTCGGAGTTCCTGCTTTCCTGCAGTAAGGTAAAGGATACATAAAAAATGTTAGAAAAAGGCAAAATTGCTGCAGAGGAATTATTGTCACCATATGGTAGAATTTATCTGTCTTTTAACCATGCAAGGGAATGTGATATGAACTCAGTTAAAAGAAAATTTTCTGCATATGGTAATTATAGGAGGAATACATCTTTCTTGGAATCATGTAGGTGACCGAGACAATATTGACAAGGATTTGAAACCAGATTATGCTGACTTTAACCACCAATGACCAAACAATGAATTATGCATCTTCTAGCAAAATTACAAGAGGACGGTGTGACTTTTTATCTAATGAAGTCTACACAATTCATGAACGCATCATTGTCTGAGTTAAGATTTTGATCCAAACAATGAATGATACTACAAGAGAATCAATCCAACCTAATGATCATCAGTAATTCATATTTCCAAACAAATGATAGTTATCAATAATTAAGGCTATACAACAGAAAGTTTTCTAGCTTCAGTAATTCATATTTCCCAAAAAAATAGAGTGTTTTAATGAATCAATTAATCTGCTCAAAGGCTTTCTGTTGATATGAAATGTTAACTGCAATTTTTAAGGGAGATATTATCAGTCCCAAATGTGGCGTATTTATTATTAGAAAAAATGCATAGAAATGGACGGGCACAAATAAATGAGATTTTTTGACAATTGAATGGACAAAAGAAAAGGATTTGTGGTCCCTTCTGAAGACAAAAGACTCAAAGGGTTTTTTTTAGTTCTAAAGGCAATTATTATCCACCCAGCAACCATTTTACTTGTCCGAAAATCATTCGCTTCCCCAAAGGGAGAAACTATAAGGAAGGACAAAAGAAAGCAACATGAACTTGTCTTTCATGTTAAGATATCAAAATAACGTTGAAATCAGCAACCAAAGCAATACGAGTAAGAAACCAGAAAAAAAAGAAAAAAAAAAAAGAAAAGAAAAATAGGGGAACAGGGTGGAAGGGTCCCTTGAAAAATCCAAGCTCGTTAAGCAATAAAAATTATAGAACCTTCTCAAATGAAAACACCCCAGACAATTTCCCCAAAAGAACAGGACTGGAATAATTTACTAATCATTTTCTTACCTTAAGGGAAAAGTCATTAAGCAAAGATCCCAACATTTCACTAAAAAAATGTAATAGAAAACAAATATGTAATTGAGATCCGTTATGCTGATACAAACTAAAACGCGTCCTTAAAAAACATAATAAGAAACTAATAAATAAATGAGGGGTGGCCAACTTGTAGTAGAAAATTAATTCCTTTGACTCAGCCAAGGGAAAGAAAAAGAAAAAAGAAATTTCCATGAAAGGGATCTTCTAGTTCCAGACTAGTAAAATAGAACCAAATCACAAAAACAAATATAAAAGCAATATTAGGGTTATTCTTCATGTGTATTATAAAATTTGGAATATCTAAGTTGAAACTGGAAATAGAACAATATTCTCTTATTCGAATATGAAACTTTTAATTTATTAAAGTCTCAAACTTTTTCAAATTGATACCTTTTACAGATTTGATTATGAGATTAAGGTGGAGTGCAATACTTATGCAGGTTTATTATTTTCTACTGTAGTGAATAGATTAGTTGCGCAAAAAATCAAAATTAGCATAGATTTAATGGAGGGAAATTGAGTTTAAGAAGTGATTAACTTACTTAAGATAATATTCGGAGGCGGAACCGGAAACAATCCGGCCAAAAAATCCCCAGATGCTCGTCATCGAGACAAAGATGGAAACATCGGCGTGACCAAGGGCTAACCCAATCTGCGCCATGTTGTTCATCACGGCCAAACCGGTCCCTACCCCACACAAAAACGATACAAACAAAACCCAGAAGTCAAGGGTCCATAACGCCTCAAAGATCGTGTGGTCCTCCCCGATCATGGGCTTTCTCTTCACCACCGCCTCGCCTTCTGCCACGACAATCTGGTCAGCAGCCGCCGCCTCTTTTTCAGCGGGCACGATTTCTTTTCTCAGAAACGGTTCCTGTCGTTCGACGTCTGTTTCAGCCCCACCCAATTGCCAACTCTTTAAAAAGGCATACGCCGGAACTACCAGGGGGCTGGCCAAGAGGACGAGCAGCACAGTCGCAAACACGAGCGAGAATACTTGATTCGAGGAACCGATGAAATCGTAAGCCAGAAGGTATACGGCGACGACAACAGCGACCGAGTTGAAAACTGTGAAATAACGGGTCTCTTCCTTCTCTTGCGAGGCGGAGACGGAATCGGGCACTTCGCGGAGGAAGAATACGGCGGTGAGGCAGACTGCAAAAGGGATGATAGCGAGCATGAGGAGGAACTGGGAAGGGCTATCGGAGAACAGGGCAGCGCAGAGGTCAGTGAAGATGGCGGTGCTGAGGCCCACGTAACCCTTCAAAATACCGGAGACAGGGCCACGGTTGCGCCGGAAATTGCGGATGCAGGTAACTAGAATGGAGGTGTTCATCCAAGTTGTGCTGTTGCCTCCCAAACACAGAAATATGCACATCTGCGTGTCATTTGACAATCACATGATCAAATTTCCCGTTGGAATTACAGAAAACATGGACTAAAATAATCATTCAAAATCTTCTAATTAAGAATTGAATTCAATGGTATCTCTGGTAATAAATGAAAATAAAATGCACATAGAATTCACAAAATTGCACTATTAGATGAAGAAAGTATTCGATGAAATGCATGAAAGAACCGTTTCTTAATATGGTACCTGCCAGTAGGGGAGGGGTTTGATTCTCTCGCTAACAACGAGCCATTGAGCACCATAACCAATCACCCCTTCGATGGAGCCAATAAGAAGAAGAACCCAAGAAGGGAAAAAGTCTGAAGCAAGGCCGGCGAGGAGTCCGAAGGCTTTCCCAATATCTTTGGCGACAGACAAGTTGTTGAGTTGGAGTTGGGTGAGGTTCATAAGCGTCTTGAGGGCATCAGAATAGTTAGAGAAAGTATAGTTGTTGCCGGAAATGGCCTGGACCCAGACGGCAGTCACGAAGCCCAGCCACTTCCAGGCACTGGACTTGTAGGAAGCTTGAAACGCCATGAAGGTTGACCCAAGTTGGAGTAGGCGGTGCAGTGACCGTAAGCAACAAGTAGGAGGAGAAGATTTTGAACGGTGGATGTGGGTGAGGACTTTGGGAACGAGGGAGTGGGCTATTTAAAGCGAGAGTAAAGAATGAACGGTAAGATTTGCGGGTTGATAAAAGAATGCGACATTACAACTAAAAAGGGTCCAAACTCCTAATCCTAAACCAACGTTTTGGATACGGTCGTTTACGGTGCGGTATAATACGGAATGAATAATAATAATAAATGAAACGAAAATTTAATATTAAATTTTAATATTAATAATATAATATAAATTAATTATTAAAAGTATTAAAATTTTAATTTATTAAGAATCATAATATTATTTTAAAATTTTTTAACTCATTAAGAATTGATCCATAAAATTGGCAGTCATAAAGGTCAAATTTCTCCAGGAGTTTTAAGATTTTCGATTGAAGTAAATCTCTGATTGGGGCTCTG